GCAGCTGATCTATAAATTGATTCAGCTGCTCTTTCTCTCGAAGAAGTTGGTCTCTCTCTAAAAGCACTCCTCTGATGTCATCAGCTGACACTGAGGTAAAATTGCAAGTTGAACTGTTTTTTGATTTGTTGGAATTCTCATCTACAAAGTGAATCAGATATGGGTTTGTTCGTTTGTTTGTTTTTGTTTAGTTTTTACTGTGACTTGTAAAATGTGGGCTGATACATACCGACTTGTAGCCACATATAGACATTGAGTGATGATTGTATGACACATAGCAGGCCGAAACTGATTCCAGCCAACTTGTAAATCGTTGATCCTCCTACAACACACACATCTTTCATCAAAAATGTATCATCAGCATAAAGAAAGTTACATTTTTTGTTTTCTCTGTGTTTTCATGATGTTTAAATCTAATTATAGAGTCCAGCTATCTTGCATGTAAATTTTGTTAACATTGCTGCATTGCATATTTTTCATCATCTTAGCTATGGGCCTGGAGCCCTACATTCTTCCATTACATTTATACAACTTTGTACACTAAATTATTTTTATTGTCATTTCTTAGTGTAATTATGCTAGTATGTAGCTTCATTTTTTAAACACCATATAACAACATTTTTATGTGGATGTCCCTCACACTGAAAATCTTTTTGCCTTTGAATGCAGATGGCACATATCTGGACCCAGATTTCTCTGCAGTGGTTATTTTTCACAAAAGTAGATTAATTAAGAATAAAAGCTACAACTATATTAGTTGATTAATTTGCCTTTTGTCAAAACTTTTGTAAACTATCAATTTAGAGAGAAATGTTAATTATAATGATCATACCAGAGATGAAAAGAATAAAAGAATTTAAGAGATACCTGGCTTGTGATTTGCTCTTGTTGTTTCTCTGCTATCAAGAGCTGAAGTGACAGAATATTGAGTTTCCATTCTTCTTACACTGACGATCTGAGAAAGCACTGTTTCATCATGTAAGCTGAATCTCTTATTGTGGCTGTTGCCTTTAGTTTCCTTTAGCCTTTTATTTCCTTGTGGTAAATTAATCATCTCCTTTTTATATTCACTGATCTTTAGATAGTATAGTTATAGTGGTTGTGTCATCAACCACAAAAAAAAAGTGTAAACAAAGGAAATTATGATAAAGCTACCCATTTTTTAAAAATATAGAGCAAGGCCTATCGGTGCTTGCTCTATATTTTCTTATGTTGCCTTGTCTTTATGTTACCATAAATAACCTATTATGTTTTTCTTAATGAATAAATAAATAAATAACATTTACAAATTTAAAAAGTATCTATACACACCTTATACCACACAGTCATGCAGTTTTACTTCCTATGAGTTCATATCCTGTCTTGAAGTTATTTGACATGTTTAACATTATTGCACTGCTATAACTGTACACTTCTTTTTCTGCCATGTTTGGGTTGTACATATACATTTAACTTAAACAATTTTCTACCAGATTTTTGTGTTTGTTGCTTTTTGTTGACCATGATGTAGTATAAAATAAACCCCAGTTTCAGACTTGTGTTTGCAGGCAGGAACTATGTTAATTATTTTAAAATGCATTATATATCTTGTGGTATGCATAACCTTTAAATCAGTAGAATACAGCTTAGATTATGTCCAACAGCAGAAAATTACATAATAAAATCTACAATAAAGGAGGTGCATTAGGTGGTATAGGCATAGAAATATTGAACTTAATTATATAATACTTTGTACTAATATCATCTATGTTATATTTACTGTATGTTTTATGTTCATCCGAACTTGTTATTCAACGCACACTTAAACCTTACTTTAAGTCTTAAACTTAGCAAAAATCCTCACAGGAAAAACTTACTGCTAAAGATTCAATAGATTTTAAACTCAAACTAGAGTCCTGAGTGCTTGATAAACTGGACTTCTTCTGGGTCTGTGAAGACGTTTCGAGGTTATTTCAGTTCTAAAACAACTGATGGAGAGTTATTATAACTCATAGTGAGGTTGTAGACATGTTCCCGAGGGTCATTACCCACTATTACTCATGACAGTCATCACATCAGTCAAGGCATAAAACGGGACTTGGATAATTGCAGTCCCCACTCACCAGCCATGAGCCATATTTTTCATAACATACGTCTGTGTTATGAAAAATAAGTTTTGAGAACTGCATGATGAGTAATGACAATGACTTTTCTGTTGTGAGAATTGATTGAGGAAAAACTGTAATGGGGAAGTTCTTCAAACCTGCATTCTTTCTAAAAATCATGAGGGGGCGACTTCACCCAACTGAAGTCAATCCCATGGTGGTACTTTCTGGTTTTTAGACAACATCTGCCTGCTTTTTCACAATTTAACTTTAAGATTCCATAGTCTGCCTTGTGTAATGTAATTGATATCACTGAACGACTGTACTTCTCATTTTTGAGCGGCGTTCAGTTTGTGAATATTTACCTGAGAGTGGATCCCAGCTCTTTTATCCTTCCTGAGGAAAAAAAAGTCTTTGCTGGACTTTCTTTACCAGGTGAAATGCATTCAAAGCCAAGGTCAGATCAGCTGTGATGTCAATGCCCAGGAACTTATTGGCAACCTGTTCTGCATGGAATTCAAGCAATCCTGTAGTCTGCAATGACCTCCTTGGTCTTGCTGGTGTTAAGGACCAGGTTGTTTGATGAACACCATTCGGTCAGGCGCTGAACCTCCTCTCTGTTGCGAGTCTCATCAACAAAGCCAGTGGAAAATCAAACTTGTGGAGTTATTCAGTAACGTCTTTTATAGGCCAAACATTTATAAAAATGAACATTAAAGTATATACTTAAATGTTAGTAAATTCTCCCGAATTTGTTGCAACATAATCAGCTTCCTAGAGAAGGATCAATATTTAAAATTGCCTATACTGTATATTCTATATGTTCCCTCACAGCTATCTTTGGCTCTGCTCATACACTTATTGACAGAGTGACAGCCATCTTGCTGTCATAGATCCCAGTTCTATGACTATGGTAATATAGATAGTGTAATAGCTTTCTTAGTAAGGTAAATAGGTTCAAGGGTGCATTGTGTTCCCAAATAAATTTTTGCAAATCTGAGTTATGTTGAAGTATTAACTTGGTAAATTACTCTTACTACAATCATGATCCAAATTTGCCTCGAACAGCAGGTCTATTTAAGAGCTTTGGCTCCTATTTATGGAACATGAATGTTCTACACATTTTTCCTGATGATAATTTCACATAATCCAATAATACTGATCCACACTGTATATAATAAAGAGTCTAAGCTTCTGTGTGGTTGACACAGAGCTAACTGGCTTGTAGCTAACTGGCAAACATTTAGCAAGTTACAGACAAGGGGAGCTATTTGTATTCTTCATTGCTGACGGGGTTTTTTTTCTATGAGTCAACACCATGAGATAAAGCTGTATTTTTCCTGCATGCGAGCCACATAGAACTAAAATTCCCATGATGGTTCTTTTTTCCCCCTGAAACCAACATCCAGATATGTATACACACTCTATACCACAATGTCATGCAATCTTACTTCCCTTATGATGTCATTTCCTGTATTGAGGGTATTTAAAAAAAATATCTACTATCATTGCAGTGCATTAATATGGTTGCCCATCTTCAACAGGTTTCTTTCAGTGGAAGCAATTGACTGTGTGGCATGTTAATGGCGTAAGGAAACAAATGCAGACATGTGGAGACAAGTGGAGATTAACTGAAAGTATGCTGTTTATTTGGCTGAAGGCAGATAATACACAAGCAAAAAGGAACTGAAGGCTATAAGTTAATGAATTCCCCAAAAACTGGGAAACATGCTAGAGCTGGAAACATTGAGGCTGGGAACCACTGGGAGACTGTGGAGATCGAGAGGGGTGGACCCAGGCGCAGACAATGAATCGGAATAAGAAACAAAAACAGTCCACAGAAAACAGTGGAGCTCACGAAAACAGTTTATATATAGATCAGAGGACCGGCCCGGAAATTGACAAAGCAGGGGTCCATTACGGAGCAGGTCCGGAGGCCAAAGGCCTGCTTTACTTTTAAGGTCCATGTGTGGTATTCTGTTTTGCTTCCTCCCTGTGATCATTTTAATTATTTACAAAGGCGTGATGTTATGTGGTAAAGATATATAT